GAAAGAGTGGTGGAGCGCATTAGGAAGTGCAGGTGTGAACATTTAAAGCTCTGTTACCATATCCCTGGCTATAGAGAATGCAGTGAACTCTATATGGCTTTTTTTGAGAGGCCAAGCAGAAAAGTTCAGTGATTGGATAGAACAGTAGTTCGCTTTGCGGGAGGATTTTCTTCTGCTGGGAGGAACCCTTCAGGAACGTTCGGCTGGTTTTCCAGTAGAAGCTTAGTAGCAATGAGATTGATTCAGAACTCTTATTGTTAGCAGACCAGGACCAATGAGCCACAGTGCTCCCCAGGGACTTAACTGCCCTGCTCCAAGGAGCACAGAGGAAGAAGTTCAACACTGGCCCTATCTGTGTCCAGTCTGGCTTGCAAATGTAGGATCAGTTGAGTTGGTGTTTCTCTCAGAATTGGAAAGGCAGCTGAGTGCCAGCTTAGGGGCAGGATAAGTCTCTGAGACATCTGGAGACAAGTAATGAATAGATCAGACCAAGACAAATCATGCCGAGGGCTACTCTGGCTTCTACTGGACAGCCTGACCAAACTGATTTGTATGCTCTGTCCATCCTCATGTTTGCCAGTGGAGAAAATGACATTACTATGGCGAAGCACTCGTTCTTCTCGCACCTCCAGCAGTGTCCTCTATTCATTATAGAGGAAGCTGCTCCTCTCTGACAAAACGGTGTGGGGAATACTTGTGCGAACCCAGTGATATGGAGTATCCCAGCTGCCACTCCCCTCCAGAGAAGAGGGTGGCACTTCCTGCTAAGAGGCTGCTGCATCAGACCCTAGCTAATGAGACCGTTTTCTTTACATACCTGTAGCTGTTTATTACTTTTCTGTTTTGAAGTCAGTTTGTGTCTTGACGTGTCCCTTGCAATATCCCTATCGTTATATATGCTGTGTGCCTTATGAAATGCTGGGATCTGGAAAATCCACCCACCGACGCATCGTCGTCTTCACCTTTGAATGACAACACAATCTGCCAATCGGAACTGCCCGCTGCGTGCGATTGGTCGTATGCCGTTTCGGGGGGCGGTGTGTACAGAGAAGCCAACAGAGCAGTAAACGCAGCAGGAGCGTGGAAGATGACAAGGAAGGTCACCTGGTGTGCAGGATCGGCGATTGGCTCCAAGAGCGATGTACAGCCACCTTTCGTAAAACTTTACCTCTCTACTTTCTATCCCCATGTTAGACAAGATCTCTCTTATTGTTCTGGAGGGGTCTCTAGTGTTTATTGCTTATAAATGGACTGACCAGTAATTGCCTGAAGCAGACAATAGACACTTCTGTTAAAGAGTGTGGCAGTGAGAGATACTTTTTTTTTTTTAATTTTATTTTTTTGACATTTGAATGCTGTGATGAAATTGCAGGACCTCGCTCTCTCTGGGTGCTCAGGGCTGACATCCGCTCTTGTTTTCTCTTTTAGATGAGATTGTCGGCAGCCTCGGTGAAGGCACTTTTGGCAAAGTTGTGGAGTGTGTGGACCATGCCAGGTAAGCAGTTGTTACTCTCCAAGTCACATGCCAGTTGTGTATCAAAGGATCACAGATGTTGTCAGTTGGGTGTAGATTAGGGCTCATCAAACAATCGTTAACTTTTTCCACTAAATAATAGGGGTTGACCGATTTTAAAGATTTTTTTTTTTGGCTGATACTGATGGCTGATTATTAACTAGCCATATTGGCCAATAATGATCCGATAGCCAGTATACAGCCCAGCAGCTTGGAGATCAGCATCTGGCTGATATGTCTGTGGGAGGGGAAGGGGCATGGCAGGGGCCCAATAGAGGTCCCCACAGTGAGGGAGGGAGTGGGGCAGGGGCAGGGGCAGGTATTGCCCAGCCAGAGTGATGAATGGGCCCTCAGGGTGGGTCACAGGGGGGAACTGGGTGGCTTTGTGCTCAGGGTGAGGGTGGGCTGCCGGCTGGGGGCTGTGCTGGCCTCTTCCCGGTGGGGGACTGAACTAGGGCTGTGCTTGGAGCAGGTGGCAATGTCACTGGGGAGGGGGTTACAGCAAATGTTGGGGTGCCTGTAGCCCACCCCATAGCCCCCCTCCCAGCGCTGCCACCACCTGCCCCAGCACAGCCCTGGTTCAGCCCCTCCCCGTTTGGAAGAGTCTGGCACAGCCCCCTAAGCCTGCAGCTGGCTGCCTACCTTTTGCCCCATAAACAA